ATTCGAATAATAATAATAATAATAATAATAATAATAATAATAATAATAATAATAATAATAATAATAATAATAATAATAATAATAATAATAATAATAATAATAATAATAATAATAATAATAATAATAATTGGCTTGTTTTGCGCGGACAAAAAAAAGAAAAAGAAAATATAATAAAAAAATCCTTGAACTATTTTTTCTTATTATCACGTTATCGAGGGGAATCCCCTTCGGTCACAAACAACCCGAAACTTTTTTTTTTTAAATCGAACATAAAACACGACAAGTTTATTAATTAAAAATGGCCGGCCATTTAAAGAAAAAAAAATTATTTTGATTTTTGCCGATTTCAAGGCTCGTTCGAAAAGAAAAAAAAATGTTAACTTTTATATTAATTCGGTGACAAATTTGCGTTTTTTTTTCATTCGTTCTTTCGAACGTTTGATAAAAATATTTTTGATTTTTATAAATGTCGGTGGTGTAAGAGTTCAGGTACATTTTAAAAAAAAAAAACAAATTCCATGTCCCCCTCCCCGAAAAAATAAAAAATAAAAATGAATTGGAAAAGATTTAAAAAGTAGGTCGAATAATATCGAATTAATAAATAAAAAAAATATTATTATTGTTATTGTTATTATTATTATTGTTGTTGTTGTTGTTGTTGTTGTTGTTGAAAAGCACAATTTCACTGTTTAGATTTGCGATTTTGAAAAACTTTTACCGAAAACAAAATGAACGCCAACGAGAGTACGAACGAAATACCAACCAAAAAACCTCTTTTTTTTTTTTTATTACCTCTGTTTGTTGCTGTTTTTTTTTTATTAATCGAGTAATAAATTATCGATGATAATAATAATAATAATTAAATATCGAATAAATGAGAACTATTATAACGAACTCACGCACTTGACACACACACACACACACCACACACGCACACTTACATTTGATGCGTTGTTTTTTAGACGACGACGACGACGATGATGATGATGATGATGTAGGTGATGGTAATGTTTGCAGAATGGTAAGAAGTTGAAAACTGTTTGCAAATAAGCAAGTAAGAGAGTCAGTCCGATTGGCAATCCGACATTTTGTTTTTTTTTTTTTTGTTATTTACTTGTTCGCTCGGTTATTTATTTATTTATTTTTTTTTTTTGTCGGTCTGATGAACTCGACTGTTTTTTTTTTTTTACCTGTTATCACGGACCGCGAACTTATTAATTTTTTTTATTTTCAGTCCTTCATTCCTTTCCTATAACTTTTCATCATTATCACAACAATTACTTCCGTTATTCGATAAAATGATGATAATAACGACCAAGTAATTTTTCATTCGGGTACCTAAATACATGCGACAAATTTTTATAATTATTTGATCAAATGAGTAAAAATTATCGATTAATCGATCGATTTTTTTTTTTTTTTTTTACGATAATTCGATTAATCGATTTGTTTTTTTTCGTTTTTACTTTTTAATTTCTATTTATTTATTTATTTTTTTTTTTTTGAAATTGTTTGTTTGATTGCATGCATTTTTTTTTTTTTTCAAGGTTTTGATAACTTTTGCTTGACTTTAAAACTTTTTTTTTATTTAAAAAGAAATTACTATTTTGTGGTATTATTCAAGGTTGTTTTAATGATAAAAATAATAATAATAATTTAAAAGTTAATTAATATTGAAAAAAAAAAAACAAGTTTCCAGTTGAAAAAATAATGAAAATTATTTATTATTATAATGTCTCATTGTAAGAAAATTTTTTGTTTTTCCTTTGTGTATACAAACTAAAAATTTTAAACCTTCAACTAATTAAATTAGAAGAAAAAAAAGAAAATTTTTTTCTTTTATATTATTTAATGAATTAAAACTTTTTATGTTTGATTTGTC